TGAGTATGTGAGTCCATGGTGCTGTTCAACACGTGCTCAGGCGGGCTGATTCGTGTCGGTGAGAGAGGGGGTAACTTCAAGCACAAGTAAAATACACGATGGACGTTCATTCACATCGTGTCTGCATGAAATCAAAATGTCCCAGAATGCTCGTCATCCTGGTATATAATTTTGCAACATATATTTGCATTTTAACGCCACTAGACCTCATTACTTTTTAACAAGTAAAAAAAATCACCCTGTAGTTTCTCTGCTTTATGTCACTCAGCACCATGAACACTAACAGTGTAAACAAGACTCGTGCAGCGGCTGCATTTTTATGGTGAAAAACTGATATTTTCGGGATCCCGGGATTGGCGGAATTTCGGGATCGGGATCGGGATTAAAATCCCGCCGGGATCCCGGGATCCCGATCCCGGGATTGCAATCTCTAGTCGTTTGATTGAGTTGATTGATTCCTTTCATTGTCGCGTTTGAGTCGATTGAATCAATTCCCGAAAACTGCTCTGACTTGATTGATTTGATTGGTTTCCCAAATTTGTCGTGATTGAATTGATTGCTATTGATTGAGTCGTATACAACCCTGCTGCCAATACCATGAACAATCAAATGGCTATCTTCGATTATTGATTATCGTTCCGCATTTTCCAAAATCTTGAACTGAATTTTGGCAATTTCTCGTGACTTCTTCACGATCATGATACATGCATTTCTTAAATTGAACTTTTTGAGCCAAACACGGTACACATATGATAAAATGAATGTCATCATCGTGTTACACGCCCAAAATTAGGTACCGATAAAACATGTGTCACAGGCTGCGAATATCAGTTTTGATTTTCGGGGATATGTGCCTACCCGGTTGACCTGACCTTGACCCTGACCTTTGCATGACTGACCCCTACATGGAGCTGACACTCTTTTAGGCCTTATATGAAGGATTGTGCACCGTTTTGACAGAGTTTATGACGAGAGGCGCCCATTGCGAAGTCCTGAAGTCCATGCTACTGAAAGCCCGATTTCAGGTGTTTGACCTGACCTTGACCCGACCTGTGACCTCAAAATTCAATTTAAAAGTACTCATCTGAAGTGTCTCGTCGCGTTCTTTCGTTTGCCGCCTCGTGCGTTTCGCTGAGCCTATTGGTTCTCGAGTTATCGGCTGGGGGCGTTTAACACCCCCTCCCCCAGCAAACGGTGGGTGGCGAAATACCCCAGCAACTTGCCGGGTTCATTTGTCTCATTTACAGTCGATTACATTCAGAAACAACTTTATGTCTTGCAATCAAAATAGAAAATAGTTATATTACTAAGTGCTCGAGCGAGGAACATATTGAATATAATTAGATAAATAAAAGAAGTTGACCTTTTCCTCGACATCAAAAATGTAAAAAGCCGAATAATATATTTTAAAAAACGGTGAGCTTTCGGCCACTGGCCTTTCTCAAACCAACGTGATAACAATGTTAAAAGACGATCCTGTGAATAATCTGTCTGCCATTTTTCAAAAACCGAAGATCGTGATATTTTAGGAAAGGCGCTACTCATAAGGGCAAACTATTTGATAGACCGATTGTCTACATAGTGTCCGATGTACGTAACATACATAATATACAATTGTACACGTAGCTGTCAAACACACATCGTATGGAAGGTATGTACACTAACGCCGATGTACAAAGTCGGGTGTGGCCTTCCTAGATACCTTAGTGACAGTAGTGACCCAGGGCCAGGTTACGAAGATTGAAACGGAACTTTACATAAAACCTACGAACTCAGGGATCATCCTGCACTATAAATCAGCCCACCCGAAGTCTACTAAACAAAACATAGTCCGTAGTCAGTTTCGGCGAGCGATCAGGAACTCTTCGAGCAGTGCTAAAGAGAGGGCGAGTATAGACAAGATTTGGACATTGTTGGTTCAAAATGGGTACCCAGAGAAAGTTCTTAGAAGGCTCTTGTGGGAGGTCAAACAGCAAGGGTCCAGATCCAGGATGGGTAAAGTTAGTCGAGACAAGGGCGAAGATGGCTTCTTATGTTTACCGTACATAGATGAAGAACTGCTATGCAAAATTCAAAATAAAGTTAGGAAATCTGGCTTAGCTGTCAGGATAGCATGGAGGAACCCCCAAAAGCTACGAAACAAACTGGTTAGATCATCACTATCTAAACCTATCTGCCCTGGAGGCCCACGATGCAACATGTGTAAATCAGATTTTTCAGGTGATTGTACACAGAAGAACGTCGTCTACAGGCTAAATTGTAAGTTGTGTGAAGGAAAGGGTGACGACGGCACATATATTGGCGAGACAAAACGACCTGTTCGACTAAGATTTAACGAACATTTACGAGACGCCTTGAGCGCATCCGAAGGGACCCCGATGGGAGACCACTTCCGTGAGCACCACCCCGGCGCGCCGCTAAACAAATCATCCCTTCCTCTTCAGGTTCGCGTCCTTTATCGCTCCAAAGACCACCCGGACAGAAAAATCGCAGAATCCCTACTTATAAAAGCAAACCGCCCGCACATAAACTCAAATCTTTCGTCGTGGCCAATCATGTAAGCGCCTGTATCATGTGTATCTTGTGAGCGTGTAGCCTTTTCAACTCAATCGATTAATATGTGTATGTGTATATTATTTTGTTATGTGTGTGATGTACATCGGCGTTAGTGTACATACCTTCCATACGATGTGTGTTTGACAGCTACGTGTACAATTGTATATTATGTATGTTACGTACATCGGACACTATGTAGACAATCGGTCTATCAAATAGTTTGCCCTTATGAGTAGCGCCTTTCCTAAAATATCACGATCTTCGGTTTTTGAAAAATGGCAGACAGATTATTCACAGGATCGTCTTTTAACATTGTTATCACGTTGGTTTGATAAAGGCCAGTGGCCGAAAGCTCACCGTTTTTTAAAATATATTATTCGGCTTTTTACATTTTTGATGTCGAGGAAAAGGTCAACTTCTTTTATTTATCTAATTATAGAAAATAGTTAGCTGATTTCTAGGTTTGCATGCAGGTTTCCACGCTAAGTACTGGAATGAGGGCATAGTACAAATACCCCAGTTGTAAATACAGTTGACAACTCCTAAATACTATTCTTCTACATTCACTCATGCATGTGCCATCAAATATATAAACAAGCTAAAACATGCTAGCCACAGGGTGATCAAAGCATTAGTCGTTACATGCTCTTCAACACTCTATAATGAATCAGGGCGTAGCCAGTTTAGATTCGCTCAGTGTGTGTTCTTTCAGTACGGCCCTGAACCTGCTCCCAGCTTTTCACACTGACTGGAGCCGTGGTTAATGGTCAACGTCTGGCGCCGAGTAAGCGAAAGTGTTGTTGCCTATACCTCAGCTGGCACCGGTGCGTGACCCTCTAAATTAATCTGAGCTTTACGTAGGTTGTGACTGTGAATGCCAGAGTTGACTGTCACTTTTGAAAACAGAAGCATATGGTTGGTAGTCGCTCCATATTGGGTCAACGTATTATAATGATACCCACTGAAGCGATCAGAAACTGAATGAAAAGAACGGAGTCACTGACGCGCTCCGCATTATCTCGGTAAGAATCGCTATCACATCAAAATTAATCGACTGTGAACTTGAAAAGGCGTGGTCCACCATAAAGTTGAGAAACACCCACGGTCTTGGTTGTAATTTTTGTAATTTAACCCTCGCCGGCCGATGGGGGGTGCCGCCCCCCTCGGGGGTTGTTTCGCGATAGCTGCGAACACGCTAGCGATAGAGAGCTGAAACTTAGCATACCTGACCTTTGATTCAAGCCGGATCTTTTGACGCCAACTTCATTTTCGGGTCAGGTCAGGTCACTGACCTATGACGTCATAAGTGAACCTCTGCACGGTCTTCAGATGTCGCAACTACACAACGCCCTCACTGCCAGAGGAGCTTCCACAGGGAAATGAAAGTTGCAGGATCTAGTATCCATTACAAGTCTCACAACTTGCATATCTCGGATTTTCCTAAAAGTCATATGAGGTCAGGTCATTTTCGTGACCTCACCAGTCACCATTATAAGTCAATGGGGAAAAATGAAAACTGCTATTCTGGCGCCGGGAACGATCTCCAACTATATCTCAAGCACACAGAATCGTGATTTGATGCACTCCTTGCAAGGTTAGATGCGTCACTTTTGCAATTTTGACCTTGCGTGACATCATTTATGACGTCATCAAGGTCATACTAGTTTTTCGTCAATAAATCCCTATATCAAATTGAGCTAGCAAGTCGGGAAAGCCACCAATGTACTCAGGAAGGCCTGCCGAATCGAATGATATGCGACATGACCTCTTCCGACCAACTTCGTGACATGGGGGCGCTGACCTGTCCGTGACCTGGAGTCAACACCCTAAGTTGACCTGACCCAAACAAAAAGTATATCATTCGACGCGCCTGAGCGAGACAAACACGATGCTGCCCTTACCTCGGTTATTAAACAAATCATTGAGCGACAAAAATGTAATAAAATTCCGAATAAAGTGTTGAGTGTAAATGGTTGACGAACAAAGGTTGGCAAGGCTCGTTCACTGCATATCAATTGTCTCCGTGCCTGTTCAGCGTTTAACACTCCTCAAAATCACACACATACTCAATACCTACACTCGCTATTGCTACTAAACAGCAATACAAATATAAGCTGCTTTATCTGGAACAAAAGGATTGCAGTCATTACCAAAATGGCTCCCTGCTAGATGTGTTCCAAAGGTATACGTATTCCGACTGCAGAAACCTGCAAAAGAAATTAGAACACCACCAGAAAATCTTCCATCAGTCGGGTTCTTTGGAGAATGAAAGTACTGCTTCACTTAAAAAAAGACATTTGTGGCTCAGGTAACCTACATAATAAGAGGGTGTGACAGTCCCCACATGTGCCCCAAATCTCGGCAAAAATCACGCTCCCCGGTAGTTGTGTCGTGTCATGGCACGTTCCGTAACGTCACCGGTCACCACGGTCACCTGCCGACTATATAGTGTCGGGCAGCGAGCGGCCAGTCATTCACACCTCGGCTCGCCCCAACAGCGAACACACACCATGAGAACCTTCTCTCTGATCGTGCTGCTCTGTGCCCTGGTGGCCGTCGCCCTGGCTGCCCCCGGTGGAGGCTATGGTTACGGAGGTCACCGTGGAGGCTACGGAGGTCACCGCGGAGGTTACGGAGGTCACCGCGGAGGCTACGGAGGTCACCGTGGAGGCTACGGAGGTCATCGCGGAGGCTACGGATACGGCGGTGGACACGGCGGATACGGCGGATACGGCGGTGGACACGGCGGATACGGCGGACACGGCGGATACGGCGGATACGGTGGATACGGCGGTGGACATGGCGGATACGGCGGTGGATACGGCGGTGGACACGGTGGATACGGCGGATACGGAGGATACCACGGCTAAATAAGATCTATCGCCTTTCATCATGAATACCCTCATATTTGAGAGGGCATTCGTGTGCACTGTGCATGATGGTTATGTCTTGAGGCGTTTGCTAGCTAAGACAACTGCAATAAACATTTATAAATACATCTAATGTGTTTAATGCGAGTAAGTTGGTGATAAAAAATGGTGGGGAGCTTAGTTTACCCTAAAAGAGATTTCGGAAGGATCGAAAAATGGCAACGTTTCATGCAAAATGCATCACTACCGCACATGGTGTGCAAATCATAATATATAACCATGGATCTTTAAGGCCGCGTGTCCTGATTCTTTCTCATCACTGGTGGGCTTGCTGAATTCTTGAAACTATTGAGAAGAGCCTATTCGCCTATCACTTTGATTTCTTTGAGAACTACGAAGCCGATGTTGACGTGACAAGTGACATACGGTTGTTCTCATCGTTATCTACATTCTATACTGTCCTTTAAGTCGCAAGTTTGGGGCTTAAGGGGCAACAACTGTTTAGAATACTGACATTTTCCTGTTTCCAATAAATGCTTAAAGATGCTTAAAAATACTTTTCTGTTGCCTGGGCCGAATTTCTCTACTTTTCATGAGCAGCATCGCATGATGTTGAGAAATTACCTTATGCTCATGCTGCGGTAGAGAAATGATTGTGAAATAAGGCCCAAAAAATATTGAAATAAAAATTGAAAATTTATTTCATTATCATTTCACTAACGTAACATGAGCAAAAGGTCATTTTTCAGCATCTTGCATAATGGTCAAACTAGCCACAGCATACCTCCAACGAGTAGCATTTCAAAATAAAATTCGATTTAGGTATATTCCGTTTCTTGCCATTTTCGAATATCATTGGTGGTTTCAGGCAGGTGAAAATTACTTCCGCATTTTGATTACCTATGTCTACCTATGTACAAATATTATTTGTAAATACGTAGTATAATACAGGAGTGAAAAGTATCATGCCGTGTCCCCATCTGTGATAAATATGTACCTAACATCACGTACAGCTTCACTCTCTTTATGTCCAGAATTTGCATATTGTCAAATAACTTAATTACTCCCTCAACACTTCTACCCTCCTATTAGTCTACACAAATTTTCATTTGAAAATGACGTCGAACACTTCGGAGAGCATGCATTTGACACATGAATATGAAATTTCATTAAACTATGAATTTTCATAGACACATGCATTTGGAAGCATGCTACCGCGACACTAGCCTAAGACGCTTGTTACAAGAGATTACAAATTCGGCAAAGTACTCGAAGCCTATCCCGTCGCTCAGTTGGTAGAGCATTGGACTCAAGGGGGTGAGAGCACGGGCTCGATTCGCTCCATGGCTTGATGCTATATGTGGATATCTGACAGGTATAGCCTGTGGGTGTTGGAAACGGCCGTAGTCAGTTGAAGTCATTATAGAGTGAAACAGGCCGTGCCCAGCTTTGATGGGCACGACAAAATTATGCATTTAAATTCTCCGACAATAATTTCTGCATAGCTAAACTCTGAGCAATAAATATGTGGTAAAAGTATAAAAGAATATGGAAAATCATCCATATCCGCTGTATTATTATAGGTAACCGTAAAAAACAGTGGCTTTCGCGGTAAATCTTTTGTAAAAAAAGATAATTATAACAATAAGCAGGAGAGAAAGGGGCGTTTACTTTGCAAATGACCAGCTTTGTCTGTTTGTCTTTCTTATTTTTTGCTCCAGAGTCTTATATGATGAAATGCATACAAACATTTAGCTCTTGTCTTTTATATAACAAAATAAGCTCTTATATACCACATATTTAATCGATACTGGCTGAATACAAAAAAAATGCGTTTGGCGTTTGGTTGACCGCAGATATACATATGGAACACCGCAGATACAGCAAAAAGGCATAGATGTTGCTGTTCATAAGATGTATTACTGAGTTTGTCATGGACAGGATTTAACCATGGTATCCACCATATCCGCCGTATCCGCCGTATCCACCGTGTCCACCTCCGTATCCACCGTATCCGCCGTGTCCACCACCGTATCCACCGCTGTATCCGCCTTGTCCACCGCTGTATCCACCACCGTATCCGCCATGTCCGCCGTGTCCGCCGTGTCCACCACCGTATCCGCCGTGTCCGTAGCCTCCGCGGTGACCTCCGTAGCCTCCACGGTGACCTCCGTAGCTTCCACGGTGACCTCCGTAGCCTCCGCGGTGACCTCCGTAGCCTCCACGGTGACCTCCGTAGCCATAGCCTCCACCGGGGGCAGCCAGGGCGGCGACCACCAGGGCAAAGAGAAGCACGATCAGAAAGAAGGTCCTCATGGTGTGTGTTTGCTGTCGGGGCGAGCCGGGGTGTGAATGACTGGCCGCTTTGTTTGTTTGTTTGTTTTGTTGGGTTAGGCCCTTTCGGTCCATTAAGACCATTTCAGAGCCGGGAGGATGATAGGATGTAGGGGGAGACATTGGTCTGGGCAGGCACCCTAGTGAGTCGCCGGGGCTGAGCCCGTCCAGAGGACAGGCCACCGAGCCCCACGGCACTCACTGCACCCGGCTACGGGGTGCGCTCCCTCGGGAGCAGCAGCGCGGCGGTGCCGCTCCAAGGGAGCAGCCCGCATGAGATAAAGTTGCTTGTCTAGCCCGGAGAGGTTTGTGGCGTGGAGGAGAAGGATTACAGTATCCTGAGGATAGAAGCATGGAACGGTGACTGGCCGCTCGGCGGCCGACACTATATAGTCGGCAGGTGACCGTGGTGACGTCACTGGTCGTGCGGTAACACGACACGACACCCGTGACCCGGGGGAGTATGAATTTTCCCCGAGGCTCGGGGGTGGGGGCTGGTGGTGACCGCCACACCCTCATTTTACTTTGAACGCCTGATCACACAAGTTCGATACCGATAACGTCGGATTACGCGGTAAAATAATTACTGCTTTTTTGATAAAGCATGTTTTTATTTTTTATTGCCATCTTATTTCCAGCTACTCCACTGCTACATTGATTGATGTTATGCATTAAGATGTTGCATTAACTGAAAAAGATGCTAGGCCCTGTTTCACATTGTCCTTCTGGCACCTGATGTGAGAAGCCATCTCATTACCAGTTTCACATCGTACAGTTCATTCGACGCGATTTCCATGACATATATCGCACACGATTGCCAGCGGTCGATAGGTAAGGATTTCCATTGTTCACGTGATCTGCCCCGAAATATTTACTTGTTGAGCGCAATATAGCTTGCATTGTTGATTGCACGTGCAAATGACTTGATCAAGGCTGTCGGTGTCAGTATTTATCGGCGTCAGATGTCTGCCTCTGCGTCTGCATGAGTGTTTGAGTTAATGGGATTCTATACTTTTTAATAGTGTCAACGTTCTGCTCTTCCTGTGAGCGCCGGAAATCTCTCGTCAGGTGAGTCTGTGTCCCATCAAATTCCAATGCGAGCTTCAAAACATGAAGACGGCATGGCAGTGATCCGAGTGACCGTTTTGTGGAAAAAAATCATTATTCATGTGAGCAGGAAACCTCTAAACCCAATAAAAAATAGCAATATGTTTTCCTCTTCACCAATGCCTACATATGTCCATATCAAAGCCTTTGTTCTTCCACCTTCCAGGTGAGCCCGCAGTCCCACCATGCCACGGCTAAGGCGGCCCACGGCGGCCGACCGCCGACGGGCTGCAGCCCAGCCAGCAATTTTACTCCCGGCCCAAGCAGGCTAAAGTGCGGCTAGCCCGAGATTTTAGTCGGGCTAAAGTCGGCTAGGGCTTGGGCTAAAGTCGGCGTATGACACAAAAACGCCGACTAAAGCCCATGCTCCGCCGGAGGTATGCCCGCTCTGCGAGCTCCGGACAGCCGTAGCTTAGCCCTAGTTGTGCGACGATTGGCGGTAGCCCGATGTAAGCCCGAGCAAAACGTGACTGGCGCAGAAATGCGCATGCGTGAACAGCCGATCAAGTATGGCTCAACTCCGGCTTTACTCCAGTTAGCCAAAGGAGACAACCAGCTTGATCAGCCCGCGCTCCGCCCAAGTTGAGCCTGCTTTGATTGCGCGGGCGGATGTCGGGCTGAGCTGCAGCTGGGCACACTCGGGCATAGCTGCGGCATGCCCAAGCTCAGCCCAAGTAAAAAATGCATTGGTTTTGATCGCAGTGGGCAAACCCAAGCTAAGCCCAAGCTGCCCGACGTTTGCCATAGTTTAGCCCAAGCGAATTGCTGGCTGGGAGAGCGTCAGCGACGATACAGGGCGAGACGCGCTGAAGAGCGGCGTCAGGCTGAGCTGCTGCGTCTTCAGCAGCCGGGGGCAGCCGAAGAGCTGCTCCGGGCAGTTGAGGCGGAGCTCCTAGTCAAGCTCCAAAAAGACGAGGCCCGCCGGGAAAGTGACAGGCAGAGGCAGCAGCAGAGGCGGCAAAACGAAGAGTACCGTGAAAAAGAGCGACAACGGCAACAGGCAAGGCGGCAGAGCGAGGAATACCGTGAAAGAGAGCGGCAGCGGCAGCGACGGAGGAGGGAAAACGAAGAGTATCGGGAAAAAGAGAGACAGCGGCAGCTGCGGCGGTGGGCAGCTAAGAACTGTATCGTATTCGTGACTACATTGATTGGTGCCAATGAGAGCGCTGAAACAATGCTCGAGCCCAAGAACCTCGAGATGTTATACGCTAACAACGGTGATAGTTCAGTCATGAGTCAGTGACGTGATGACAGTTAATGCTTCATGTAAAGGCATCGAATAAAATGCGTCGATCACCCTAATCACCTACACCTTTTTGCGCCCAATTTAGGCGGCAGTTCACACATTTCAATAATAGTGCAGGCGATTTCGACAGTACGGCGTAGTGCATTTGCATATCGAATCGGAGCACAATATTCGTCATAGTGCAGCCATTTCGTCATAGTGCAGGTAAAAGTGGCTCAGGTTCAGAGATGTTGGCGCACATTAACTATTCGTCAGATCGCTTCAATTTCGGGGTGCCGCATGTAATTTAGGCACTGTTTTGTAAGACCGGCGTTGCATAAATAAGCAACAACAATTTGTTTTTGACATTTCACCCTACCTGAGCCTCCAATGACAATCGAAGGCAGTCAGCAACGCAAAAAAAGTCACTGGGGCATACGCACTGTTCTTGATGCAAAACGTAGAGGGTATTTTATGTCTCATCTGACTGCGTTAGCTTCAATCATATAAGACATAGTGCACTGTGCACATAATTCGTCGGGTGCTTTCAACTTCGGCGTGAGCAATATTTTTTTCGGTTTTGTTCAATCAAATTTGTCACGATGCTGAAAGGCGATAACAAAAATCCATAGCATTTCTTATCTTTTTGAACCAGCAACGAAGCTATGCAGCCGATTCAGAAGCCCTGAATGCCACGTGACCGCCACTTGACCGTGACATCGAGTTCTTAGAGCGAGACTAATGTTAAGGTTATTCCTGAGAGCTGAAGCTGCATTTGAGCAGCTCATTGACCAAGATTCACGATACTCTTGACACACAGATAGGGGGCTTTCAAAAATATGTTCCCAATCCAGCAGCGAATTTAATTTAATATGGCCTAAATGCTCTGCTTTGCGGGACGCCGAATATCATGCCACATGACGAAACCCTGCGCTGTGACGAAATTGAACCTACGGTCCACTGAATTTGAACGCGCTATCTTCTAAATTGATTACTCTGTTTTTGAAATGTGTGCTTCATTACTGAATACCATGCACTCTGCCGAACTAGCGGTGCACACGCCGAACTGTCGAAATCGATTGCACTATTATTGAACTGTGTGGCACTTTTTCTATATTTTGGCCGTAAAAAGGTGTATTTATACTTTGTCAGACTTAGTTGAGCATTGCCGTAATGCCGTGTGTCGAAAATGATGTAACGTGACGAATTATTTGCGCTAAGTCTAATATGTCTGCACCTAGGCCACTTTTATTTGCACTATGACGGAGTAGGGTGCACATGCACAATCACCAATATCGTGCCGCGATTCAATACATGAACGAACTATGCCGAACCGTCGAATTCACCTGCACTATCACTGAAACGCGTGCACTTCCGCCTAATTTGGGCGTAAAAAGGTGCTGATAAAAATACTGGTGGCCCACAATCATAAGAAACAATTGGAAATAGCTACAATAGAATAGTTCCAGATTTAAGAAAAACCTTGGCTGTGTACGAAACTATCTATAAAGTATAGCTCAATACAAGCAGCCACGCGTGAAAAAAAAAAACTAGGAGCTCTGATAAGTGCGAGAAAGTTATTTGTTGGCATGTCCGCATGACATTAACCCTCGCCGGCCGAGGGGGGGGGGGGGCGGGTGCCGCCCCCCCATAGGGTTTTTTCGCGATAGCTCCGAACACGCTGGCGATAGAGAGCTGAAACTTGGCATACCTGACCTTTGATCCAAGCCGCATCTTTTGACACCAACCGCATTTTTGGGTCAGGTCAGGTCACTGACCTATGACGTCATAAGTGAACCTCTGCACGGTCTTCAGATGTCGCAACTTCGCAACGCCCTCACTGCCAGAGGAGATGTCACAGGGAAATGAAACTTGCAGGATCTAGTATCCATTATGAGTCCCACAACTTGTATATCTCGGATTTTTTCTAAAGGTCATATGAGGTCAGGTCATTTTCGTGACCTCACCATTATAAGTCAATGGGGAAAAATTCAAACTGCTATTCTGGCGCCGGGAACGATCTCCAACTATCTCAAGCACACAGAATCGTGATTTGATGCACTCCTTGCAAGGTTAGATGCGTCACTTTTGCAATGTTGACCTTGCGTGACGTCATTTATGACGTCATCAAGGTCAAATTAATTTTTCGTCAATAACTCTTGATCAAATTGAGCTAGCGAGTCGGAAAAGCCACCAATGGACTCAGGAAGGCCTGCCGAATCGAATGATATGCGACATGACCTCTTTCGACCAACTTCGTGACCTGGGGGTGCTGACCTGACCTTGACCTGAGGTCAACACCCCAAGTTGACCTGACCCGGACAAAAAGTATATCATTCGACGCGCCTGAGCGAGGCGAACACGATGCTGCCAAAATCGGCGCTCTGCGGCCGTTTTTTGCGAAGTTATTCACCAAAAACTGAACCGTACCCTGGGGCACTTGACCTGACCTCAGAGGTCACCGGTTGACCTAGGACCTTAAAATCGGGTACCAATCTCTGCGTCTCGTAACGGCGCACACGCTCGTTTTTTCCGCGACGCGCTAGCTCCACCAGGGGCGAAACGGCGAGGGGGGGTCGTACCCGCCCCCCCCCCCCCCTCGGCCGGCGCGTATGTAGAAAACCAATAGGTCCGGCGAGGGCTAAAGGGTGTGGCGGTTAGCACCAGATCAGTATCTCGGCCAAGTCCACGCTCCCCGGGGGTCGTGTCGTGTCACGGCACGACCCGTGACGTCACCACGGTCACCTGCCGACTATATATAGTGTCGGCCACCGAACGGCCAGTCATTCACACCCCGGCTCGCCCCAACAGCGAACACACACCATGAGAACCTTCTCTCTGATCGTGCTGCTCTGTGCCCTGGTGGCCGCCGCCCTGGCTGCCCCCGGTGGAGGCTATGGCTATGGAGGTCACCGTGGAGGCTACGGAGGTCACCGTGGAGGCTACGGAGGTCACCGCGGAGGCTACGGATACGGCGGTGGACACGGCGGATACGGCGGATACGGCGGATACGGCGGATACGGTGGTGGAAACGGCGGTGGACATGGCGGATACGGCGGTGGGTACGGCGGTGGATACGGCGGTGGATACGGCGGTGGACACGGTGGATATGGCGGATATGGCGGATACCGCGGCTGAAAAAATAGTAGCTATGTCAGCAAGATGTAAGGTGGTCTGCGATATACATATGTGCATTTTGTTCCTCATGCAACTGTCCAAAACTTACTCCGCAACGCATTTTGACAGCGTCACCTTCACCCATTCTAATTTATTTAAGCACTTGTGGATATGTAACACATAACATATACCCGTTGAACGCTAAAATACAATAAAAACATTTCCTGGAGTTGTTAATGCTTCTGATTTTTTTCATACTGTCAATGTGGCTTTGGCGAATAGAGCCAAGAAACGACAAGTTGGCCAAGAGGACTTTCGCATAAAATTCGGATAAACGGTTTTCAATATTGAATGATTGAATAATGTCAATTGTGTTAATTAACAGAGTATTCACAGCTGGAACGAAACTCCTATCTCACCTTTCGCTCCTTCCGTGGGGAGCATTGTAATAAAGAAATAAATCAGAGTAGAGCGTAAGGAAAAGTGGCATCGGGCTATTTGCTGCATCCAAAAATGATAATGGTTATAATATAACAGTGTCATCGATTTTGTTTTCTCGAACGGATGTTCCGCTTTGCTAACAGCAAAAAATAGCATGGTAGATTTAATTTACTTCGAGGTTAAAAAGTCCAATTCGAGTAAACAATTGACTGAGGTAGCGATGCAAATTCAAAGTACAAACCGGTTAGTCGCCCATTTCGTATAAGTTCTAGTTATAGGCAGTCAGTAGATAAAAGGCCAATTTTGCAGTCATTTGCACTTTGTAGTTTAGTATCATGCTTGAAAGATGATTACATCTACACTACGACATAATACTCAGAACACACCGACCCCTCTGTGGCTTGTTGATTTAACCCTCGCCGGACCTATTGGTTTTCTACATACGCGCCGGCCGAGGGGGGGGGAGGGCGGGTACGACCCCCCTCGCCGTTTCGCCCCTGGTGGAGCTAGCGCGTCGCGGAAAAAACGAGCGTGTGCGCCGTTACGAGACGCAGAGATTGGTACCCTATTTTAAGGTCCTAGGTCAACCGGTGACCTCTGAGGTCAGGTCAAGTGCCCCAAGGTACGGTTCAGTTTTTGGTGAATAACTTCGCAAAAAACGGCCGCAGAGCCGCAATTTTGGCAGCATCGTGTTCGCCTCGCTCAGGCGCGTCGAATGATATACTTTTTGTCCGGGTCAGGTCAACTTGGGGTGTTGACCTCAGGTCAAGGTCAGTCAGGTCAGCACCCCCAGGTCACGAAGTTGGTCAAAAGAGGTCATGTCGCATATCATTCGATTCGGCAGGTCTTTCTGAGTCCATTGGTGGCTTTCCCGACTCGCTAGCTCAATTTGATCAAGAGTTATTGACGAAAAACTAATATGACCTTGATGACGTCATAAATGACGTCACGCAAGGTCAACATTGCAAAAGTGACGCATCTGACCTTGCAAGGAGTGCATCAAATCACGATTCTGTGTGCTTGAGATAGTTGGAGATCGTTCCCGGCGCCAGAATAGCAGTTTTCATTTTTCCCCATTGACTTATAATGGTGAGGTCACGAAAATGACCTGACCTCATATGACCTTCAGGAAAAATCCGAGATATACAAATTGTGAGACTCATAATGGATACTAGATCCTGCAAGTTTCATTTCCATGTGACATCTCCTCTGGCAGTGAGGGCGTTGCGAAGTTGCGACATCTGAAGACCTGCAGAGGTTCACTTATGACGTCATAGGTCAGTGACCTGACCTGACCCAAAAATGCGGTTGGTGTCAAAAGATCCGGCTTGAATCAAAGGTCAGGTATGCCAAGTTTCAGCTCTCTATCGCCAGCGTGTTCGGAGCTATCGCGAAAAAAAAAACCTATGGGGGGGGGGGGGCAGCATCCGCCTCCCCCTCGGCCGGTGAGGGTTAAAGGTAGTGTGCCAGCTTTCTTGGACCATATGGAGTTAATGACCCGGATAAGGAGAACCGGATTTTTAGAACTTATCCATACCTTAAAAACTTATGGAAACGTCTTAAATTCTTCAAATTTTGAGTACCCCAGTGCGAAATTCGCCCCGACGGGTTGTCGGTCGTACCCCAACCACATTTCACACCACTATGAACAATAAATGCACACACTAAAATCGCTATTACCGATAGGCTCATCCAATCAAGTTTCGATAAACCCGTTCATCATCATCTCCTGCGGTTTCGAACACGCCTGTTAGGTGGCTTCTGATGCTCGTCGAGGTCGGAATTTCCAAATACGCGTGGTGCGTCGGGCCGCGCGCTCTGACTTCGGCCAAGAAAAAATGCGTCAGCTGATCATTGTCATTTCTGCCATTTGCGTGTGGTGTAATGGGGTCATAACTTAAGAGACGGCTGTTTCATATCAATTATTTTACATAAAATCATATTTCAAACCACAAATTAATGTTCGACAGCCAAATTTAAGAAACAATACCAATACAGGCTTACAGTTTAAGGCTCGACATTGTGTTGTCTACGATTAGACAGCTGATAACTCATTCCCGTACGTCGTATGGTCGTAACACTATAATGACCTTTGCTTATTGTCACAAGTGCGCCGCATTCGCGATTGTTGCCCGACGCCTGTTTGCAGGTGAGCCCACTACAGTTGTTATACATATCTAAAAACCGATAAACTTTTAGGCGAAAAAGGCACTATTCCAGGCCCATTTTTGATTTTTTTTGCGATATTAGGTAAAAACAGAAGCTTCTTATCCTAGGAAAAATAAAACGGGAAATCTTTCAAAGGTGGCACACTACCTTTAATATAGTCACCCAACATTTCAAAATACTTGGGATTTGGCATCGAAGTTGCAACTCACTCTGGCGGTTGGACGGTAGACACAATGATGATTGAATATTCCCCATAAACACAAAGTTGGACTCGTTTTTATCAGAATGGGCCGCATTTCCAGCTGAAGACATGATAGGACAGAGGACTCACCTTATGTTGAGCCGGATGAATTCAGCATAACCGTCGTTTTCATTTCCATATATTGCACTTCTCCATTTTTATCACCTTTTCTCACCCACGGTCAGTAAGGACTAAGGAGTCCATGAGTTCGGCTGTACGAGGGTTGACATCGCTCTGCCGCTTGTTTTTTTTTTCACGCAAGGAAAGCTGGAACTCCATTACGCTTCACATATATCACACACTAATATCACATATATCACATATATCAGTTTGGAATACAGCAAAGAAACCCAGTTGCAGGGTCAATGTCTATGAGGGTCGCGCACCTCCCACCGTCCGTCCTCACTAAACAACTGCGTCCAGTGACTACAGTGGCAAGGTATCCCCCACTCCCCAGCCCACACCGTCTCAGGCCCCCAATGCCTGTCTCGGAACGCATCACGTGATCTCTGACGTAATGTGTTCAGATTGCATTTCGCGTGTCACATGATCTCTAACCCCCGAGATAGTTGACACTCCAGTGCGCGGACTGGTGGGGAGGGGTAGCGCGAGTTCATGTCCTCCTGTGACCTTTGCCCTCGGGGGATTGACGTCGAGACAAGCTTGGCACTAAGCCAAGGGAGAATGCTTCAACAGAAAACACACCACCACCAATGTGTAAAGCATGTGACACGCGCGGTCGAGGTTTTCAATGAGATATAGGGAATGTTCAAGTCGGAATTCGAGTAAAGCCTGAAACAGAATCTTTCCGCAGTCAGCTGTCAGGAAATCGCATGCGAGAGCCTTTTCAAATACATGGAAGCACGCTCGCCTCAATCGCACGCATATCCCTCATGCGATTGATGCAGGAAGAATTATAGGGCATTTGAATAGGCTCTCGTATGCGATTTCCTGAATGTCGAAAGAGTCTTTCTACCTTAGCCCTCGCCGGCACAGGGGGGGGGGGGGGGTGATGCAGCCCCCCTAAGGTTTTTCGCGAATAACTCGCGTAAAAAGCGGCCGATCGCGGCGAAACTTTCAGTACCCTCGCACCGATCAATGTTACACCTACCCTGAAAATTTCATGACCCTGACCCAAATGACCTTTGACCTGTGACCTCTTTTCCGAGACCATGTTTGGCCGGAATCGCGATTCGGCGTATGTCGGCTCGCATTAGCCGCGCGTTTGCAAGCTTTTCGTGGTTTCAAACGTTCAAACGTGTGATTTGCTGTTGCTCCCATACATAAGGGTGGGTGTCAAGGTCACCTGAAGGTCAGGTCAGGTCATTGACCTTTGGTGACCTCGGGTGACCTCGGCTCACTTTTTCGAGTTTTACATGTTTCTAGGCTAGCTTTTGGAGCTGATTTCGAATTTAGCAGCCATTTGAACATTTACGAAGTAGTTTTGGTGCCTTCGTAACATGTTACGAAGCTGTCAGAGTCGGTTGACACGTGTTACGAATACCCGTCACAACCCCTACCGGTTGACCTGACCTGACCTGACCCGACCTGGTCTAAATGCTTAAAGACATCATCTCTGATCAAAACTAACACGTTATTCGTGATCAGCACCCCGGAAAACCATATAGCAGCCACATTTTACGACTTTCTAACAGGTCCCGATTTTCCCGGTTTTCGGGTCATTGACCTGACCTGGAAGGTCACCCGATGATCTAGGACCTTAAAATTGGGTATCATCGGCTTCCTCTCGTGACGGGCAGCACGCTCGTTTTTTCCGCGAAGCTCTAGCTCGATCAGGGGCCAAACGCGAGGGGGGTCGTACCCCCCCCCCCCACCTTGTGCCGTCGAAGGACGCGAAATGGCCTGTGCCGGCGAGGGTTAAAGTTAGTTAGGCGGGAATACAGCCGCAATTTTAAGAGAATTGTTTTCACCTGAGCCATGATATATGAACCAACCCTACATAACAAAAATGGTACGATTTGAAATTCCAAGTGATTTCAGATCATCCAATCAAGGAAGAAAGAAAGAATTAAAAAGAAACACAAATAATACAGCATCTACTAACAGGTTTCTTCCATCGATTGCCATTGATCTCTATATGGCGACCGTGACATTTAACCCGCGCCCCGCTGGGCTATTCAGCCATACGCGCCCTGCTGGGGGGGGGGGGCAGATTCTGCCCCCCCCCCTGTCTAACTTCCGAACGGATGGTCGTAGAAAGACGGGGAAAACGGCAATCGAAAGCTCTCAACAAGGCGGATCTTAAGAGCCCAATTTTTTTTGCTTAAGTAGGTCAGAGGTCAGGTCAAGGTCAGGTCAAGGGTACAAGATGCAAGTTTCTACAGTATCGGCCTTGCACCGTAGTTGCCGAAGAATGGAGTGAGACTGATTGCCCAAAACGTGTTCTTAGACTACCAAGACAATATTCGTTGCATACAATGTCGTTCAAAGGTCAAGGTCAAAGTCAGGTCAGGTCATGTCAGGTCACCAAAAACAAAATATAGAAAAGGGCATGTGCGACACATGTTTTATGGGTCATTTTGCTCATAGAATTCTATAGGCGCACTCAATAAGTGATATGGACCACCTCTGGATGAATTTCAGGTCGAGGTCAGGTCAAGGTCAGGTCAAGTGAGGTCAAATTGTGAAGTTGGTTGTTAAGGCCTAAAAAGGTGTCTATCTGATGCAGTTTTTCACGGCGAATCGAATGGTGCTATTTTTGTTTCCGTACGAGGTCCAGAACTTCCAAAAAAATCATTTTTCAAAATTTTTGTCGGTCGTGACGTCATAAAATTTTGAATAACTCCCACATTTTTGAACCGATTCTTCTAAAAATTGGTATGTAGGTGCACATAGACCACTTCTTTGACATATATTCCGGTTTTTTCGATACACTCAAAATTTTGGATTTTATAAATATTTTCCCAAAAAAGTCAGTTTTTTGAAAAAATTTGGGCCAAAATCTAAAATTTTGAAAAAAACCGAGATAGCCATTTGATAGACAAACTAGAATCACGTATAACCTTTTTTGTTACGTCTTGATTTCTTTAAAAATGAAGATGTTAGCGGCGTTTGAAATTTTGCCATTTTTGAGGCGAAAATGGCGAACATGACGTCACTAAAACGTCAATTTCTCAAAAATTTTCCGACGGATTTCGCTCACATTTTCAGGGAACGTGTCAAATTGATGTATGATAAGGTACTGAAAGTTTCACGTCGCTGGCGTAACGCGTTTAGAAGTTATTGGCGAAAAACGGGAGGGGGGGGCAGATTCTGCCCCCCCCCCCCCAGCGGGGCGCGGGTTAAGAGGAAAACGCGCTTTAATTGGCGTAATAATTGAACTGACAAATGTAATAGGAACAAGTGTGCAGTGATAAATCTGTTGCAGTTCCCAATTACATATCTGCATGCAGTTTCGATTTGGTGAGCAAACAGAAACAATGTGATCTTTCCTTCGCAGTGAGCCCTATTCCCTCGCAATTTTGTCGGCGCTTGACAGAAAACATTCGCAGCCAACTTCCAACAAAATGATGGCATCAATCTGGGTGAAACGGCTCGAGCCAAATGAGCATAGTCATACATTCTGCCGGAGCGTATGCAAAGTTTGAACGCAAAATGTTTGTTTTTGCATGCTGATGTCGTCGGCCTCGATTCTGGCGGCTTTAAGAGGCTTAAACGGTGCCGTAGCGGCACCTTTCTGAACAGCTTATTTACATGAAGTCTTCACATGATGACATCCTAAGACCCCAAACGATGCCAGAAGCCGCCTCGAACAATCGCCTAAGAACATCCTCATAAAAACGCCCCCATAGTGCGTTCGAAAGAATGCCGATGAGCTGATCTGCATTCACACCCTTGCCTTGTTTCAGGATGGATATACAAGATGTGAGTGTCAAAGAATAAGGACTGAACGCTCGGAACACCAATGCTCAGATTCTAAATCTAGATTATAGACGACGGATCGCAAAGTGAGAAATGGAAATTTAATCTGTTGATAAACGATTCCAAGGAAGGAAAAACAGATTGGGGCACCTTGACTCTTCAAGACTTCACATCTAAGTTATTCTTTATATTTTCTTTAGGTATAAGACACGTTGCACTGCATGTCCATATAATGAAAATCAATACCAATGCATAAGCATATTTGAACGTAAAAAATGGTTGTGGCGCTGTTTTGTCTTTGTTACCCGGGGGTTGGTAGTACGGAAAGAGATGAGCAATGGGAGAGAGGGAGGTAGAAGAGAGGGTGAGCCTGGGGTGAGCCAGCCATCAAGGCCAGTGTCGCTCTTTTCTCTAAATTAACTTGACGGCGGCTCAGATGTGGTTCAGTGGCGGATTAGTTTCGGACCATCGCACAGTACGGCAATGACACTGACGACCGCCGGCGCAAACGACGGACATCACAAACGAGGAGACGGCAGAGCTCGGCGGTATTACAGGTGGCCGACCCGCTGTCCGGCCAAGGTCTCTGTCTGTCTGTCTGTCTGTCTGTCTGTCTGTCTGTCTGTCTGTCTGTCTGTCTGTCTGTCTGTCTGTCTGTCTGTCTGTCTGTCTGTCTGTCTGTCTGTCTGTCTGTCTGTCTGTCTGTCTGTCTGTCTGTCTGTCTGTCTGTCTGTCTGTCTGTCTGTCTGTCTGTCTGTCTGTCTGTCTGTCTGTCTGTCTGTCTGTCTGTCTGTCTGTCTGTGTGTCTGTCTGTCTGTGTGTCTGTCTGTCTGTCTGTCTGTCTGTCTGTGTGTCTGTGTGTCTGTCTGTCTGTCTGTCTGTGTGTCTGTGTGTCTGTCTGTCTGTCTGTCTGTCTGTCTGTCTGTCTGTCTGTCTGTCTGTCTGTCTGTCTGTCTGTCTGTCTGTCTGTCTGTCTGTCTGTCTGTCTGTCTGTCTGTCTGTCTGTCTGTCTGTCTGTCTGTCTGTCTGTCTGTCTGTCTGTCTGTCTGTCTGTCTGTCTGTCTGTCTGTCTGTCTGTCTGTCTGTCTGTCTGTCTGTCTGTCTGTCTGTCTGTCTGTCTGTCTGTCTGTCTGTCTGTCTGTCTGTCTGTCTGTCTGTCTGTCTGTCTGTCTGTCTGTCTGTCTGTCTGTCTGTCTGTCTGTCTGTCTGTCTGTCTGTCTGTCTGTCTGTCTGTCTGTCTGTCTGTCTGTCTGTCTGTCTGTCTGTCTGTCTGTCTGTCTGTCTGTCTGTCTGTCTGTCTGTCTGTCTGTCTGTCTGTCTGTCTGTCTGTCTGTCTGTCTGTCTGTCTGTCTGTCTGTCTGTCTGTCTGTCTGTCTGTCTGTCTGTCTGTCTGTCTGTCTGTCTGTCTGTCTGTCTGTCTGTCTGTCTGTCTGTCTGTCTGTCTGTCTGTCTGTCTGTCTGTCTGTCTGTCTGTCTGTCTGTCTGTCTGTCTGTCTGTCTGTCTGTCTGTCTGTCTGTCTGTCTGTCTGTCTGTCTGTCTGTCTGTCTGTCTGTCTGTCTGTCTGTCTGTCTGTCTGTCTGTCTGTCTGTCTGTCTGTCTGTCTGTCTGTCTGTCTGTCTGTCTGTCTGTCTGTCTGTCTGTCTGTCTGTCTGTCTGTCTGTCTGTCTGTCTGTCTGTCTGTCTGTCTGTCTGTCTGTCTGTCTGTCTGTCTGTCTGTCTGTCTGTCTGTCTGTCTGTCTGTCTGTCTGTCTGTCTGTCTGTCTGTCTGTCTGTCTGTCTGTCTGTCTGTCTGTCTGTCTGTCTGTTTGACTGACTGTCCGCATGCATCTGTACGCCTATCTGTCTGTCTGTCTGTCTGTCTGTCTCTCTTTCTGCCTCTTTCTTCGCTTTCTCCCTCCCCTTCTTCTATTTTTGCCTCCCCTTTCTTCTCCTCCTATACCACCTCTCTCTTTGTTTGTTTGTTTTTGTATGTCTCACATCTCCCCTTAGTTCGTTTTACCAAATCTCAACTGACAAGCCAGTCAAACCAAGGAGGGCCCTTCTTGAGACGGAACAAAGGCTTTCTAAGCTTGTTTTCTATTCACACGTGAAACGCGAGGAGCTTGAATCACAGACTAGTAACCAATTGGGATCAGTGTATTTACACAACACCACCTCAGCATTGTAAACGACTAGAATTCGATTTAACGCAACGCATTCAACAAGCCTTAGGATATGCTATGCGGGACGCAATGAAATAACGTCAAGTTGCAGCGCATGTGACACAGATACAAGCGAATTCCACATACTTCCACGCCCAGACGCAATCCAGACTAGCGATGAACTGTCATAATGTTGAAATGATGATAGAACGCTAGCGTTGCTCGCTAGTTGCCTATGTGGCTAGACTACTGGAAGAAACTGTATAACACATCAATGTCAAGCATGCTCGGAGACTCTTTGGACCATGTTTGTACTACGAACCCATGCCCACAGCAAAAATACGTGTAAGCTGTCACAACCAATTGAGACCAATAATGCACAATGAACATACAACTCATCCAGGCTCCAGGCAGAAAATATCTAGTTGAACATAAAAACGAACATTGCTAAAACGTTCTAAAAAGAATGAGCTACGAAGCTTGCACGACCCGTTTCAATTTGACATAGCCCAGCAATTCAACACCCAACACATATGGAGTGAAGATGCCACTGAGCTAGATAAACAGCGCTGCAAATGTGTCTAAGGGTAGACACGTGTAACCCCGCTCTAAAAAAACTGTGACCACACATCTGAATTCACCGGTTGCTGTCACTATCGTAACTTGTTGGCACATTCACTTAAACTTTACGTAGCTATCGTTCATCTTGGTTCGAGCATGTCACATCGATCACATGCCATATTTCTCACACCTTGTGGGCCTGCCTTCGTTTCATTTCGTATCATCCTTTCTGAACATCACGCAACACAGCAATAGTTACGTAGTTACTCACGACCGCGTAAGTACCATACCACTGCATTGTTTTCACATGTTCTGACCAAATGCATGGGTTTATCGGAGCGACTATTGTAAACGTCAACATCCTACGCTGTCGTGTCGCAAAGTACCCTGCCATCCGACGTTCACTGAGCAACTGCTCTAGCGCTCGCTGAACATTGTTCTACTGTTCACTGTCCATCGTCCATTGCTGTTCAATGTTGAGAATTATCAGTATTTAATACCTACCCCCTGTTTAATGTCTGGAGGTGTTCCCGTGTTGACCATTCCTTCCACTTAATGTTGTTTAGCGGTGTTCCACGATTTAGTTGCCGTAAATACAACAGTGTTTCATAGCTCGGCATGGTATGTATGTACATACATACATACAGCAGCGTTCCGTGATTCCTCCGTCAATCACTCCGAGCTTCACCTGATATCCAGCAATGTTTCAGATTCACCTGTCACTGATCTAACCTCTGTCGTTCACTTGTCGAGCAGCGGCGAGTCGGGACTGTCATATCCGCTACTGAGGGAGGTCACCTCCGCTGCCGGCGGGGCGAGGGTCACCGTACCGGGCGGCGGCGGCGGCGGCGGCGGCGGTGGCGGCGGCTGGGTGTACTGAGCCGCCCCGCCGGTTGCCCGCTGCTGCTGCTGCTGCTGCGGCTGCTGCTGCTGCTGCTGCTGCTGCTGCGGCTGTGAGAGGTTGTGGGTCGGGCCAGACGCCGTGGTGGTGGGACACTGCAACAGGAGCTAAACGTAAGGACAGATGGAACTTGTGGTAGACGACTGGAAAGGTTGGAGACAGAAATATTGCAGTGGCACTGTTGCAGTTCGATTTATGATTTTTCCATTTGGCTAATTAAATAATGCTGCTTAATTGTTATAATTATTGCTACTCGTCAAATGGGTAAAGCAAATGAGCGGACAATTTTCCGACGAATAATTCCGATTCCGACAGTCGGAAAGAGAACTGAGGACTGCACCAATGATATGCCAAAGCCGGGAGCAGCTGAACTGCATAACAGACGGGTTGCAAAGCCAGAGGTAGAAGCACAACGGACAACACTGCACAGTACAACACAGCCCCCCCCCCCAAAGAAAATGAACAGGCGGCATCACTCACCGGCAGATGGGACGTGGACCGTTTGATGTGCGCGATGGCGGTCGGGTTGAACGTCATCGAAGCAAACACCAGACGCTCCTCGTAGTCGTACTCACACAATATCTTGTTATCGCACAGGTAAAATTTGTCACCGACGCAAAACCTGTTAACATTGGAAATGCCTTAAGAATTCATGATCAGTTGGGGGTTGCTTCTCGCCAAATTTATGCATCATACTTGAAATGGTGGCAAGCTTACGCAAATTTGTTTCAATCACCTTTTTTTGATAATGCGTACAATCGCAAGTGTGTGCGTTTTATTACCTGCACTCATTTTCACGTCATTTGTAAAAGTGCACGTCAAGGTGAAATTGCTACATTCTGAGACATTGAGGAGTTTCACAAACAGTGTTTAATTAGAGTCCCGTTGAAAAGACCAAATGCAAGTTACAAAGACGAGCTTGTTGATCGGTGTAGGACAAGTATCATCATAATATTGCCACAGTCGTGTCGGGACTCTGTGCCACTGATTAACACTCCATTTTTAAATGAACGACACGCAATGCAATTAAGTTGAAATACCTGACCCGAAACCGACGCAAACATGACCTAAAATACGGTCGAAAATGGAACAATGCCAAAGGTTGGAACTGTACCTGTGGTTGCACTGTTGGCAGGCGAAACATTCCAAATGGTAGACGTTGTTTCTTGCTCGCATCACCATTTCGAAGGCAGGTATTACCTTATTGCAAGCCGAACAGTATCCTGTGCTCCCGAACAGTCTGAAACATAGTAATGCATTGTTAGTAATGATGGGGAACTCACTAAAAATTGGCCTATGCTACATGCCCGTAGGATGTTCTTAGTGGACGCCCGGCTTCTATAGGCATTTTATTGAATCATGGAAACATGAAAAAGTTAATGTTCCATTATCCTTGTATAAAAGAATAATTGAAAGAAGCCAGGAATGTTCTGCATATTTTCCCCTCTGCTCGCAGCATATGCCGACCATCAACGGCCAATCGCCAGAGCACGTTCTCGACTGTTACAGCCGTCCCTCCGCGGCGCGTCCGCGGCAGCTCTCAGCATTCGCTGCCTCCGCCACCAGTCTAATCCGAGCGTGGTATCGCGCCTCTAATCGGCCGAGGCGCTCCCTCAATACCGTATAATAACCAGAAAATGTAAGCCGCACATTATGACGAGAGTCCGATAGCAGCGCCAAAACGCCCTCGGGAACATTTACAAAACTCAATCACGCCGACTCAATTATACGGAGCCGCCTTTATCGGACGGCGGCGGCGGCGGCGGCGGTGGTGGCGGTGGCGAAACGAAGCGAAGGGAAGCCACATGTTGAACCGAGTGGGACACATTGGATAGGGGAGCGTCGCAAGGGCTGACACAGCTGGAGAGAGATCTCGAGATCTAGCTGGGTTTGTGGTGGGAGAGAGAAAATTTAGTGGGGAGGGTGAGGGATTTTGGACGGTCGGAAACCGGGGCAGAAGCAAAGATGAGGTCACAGTTATAGAGACTTGGAAGTAAAGTTTCGCAAGTTTCATTCAAGCTCCGATATGAGAGGTTTTTATTTCCCTTGCGCATGACATTGAGCCGTGAGACTGGATCATAATTTCTACCTTATTTCTAACGAGATGTGGGAGCGAGCAGACAGCTGTAGCACTCATTTTCTTCCACACTTGGACCAAGCTTATTTAATGGGGCCGGGCTTGTGCCTCACTCAGATCACTGAGACGTTTTCTTTTCAAGGGGAAATGAGTGGGACGGTGTGACAAACAACACTTGCGAGTTTCGGTGATTCAATGTGACATATTCCGTCGCTGAGAATAATTGATGACGCCTAGCTAGGGAGGCGAGCCGCACTAAATCAAAGTTGGTAAAAGATGCTGAAAGCCCTGTCTTAGTGAATTAGATGATACACTTTAAATGAATAATTGGAGGATTTCAGCCTGGACAGCAAAACAGTGAGTGTCGAATTCCAAATCAGCGAGGAAGAAGTATAATACATTGCGTATGTGCGTACATATTACGTATACAATACACCTACCTATTCATTATGCGTCATATGATGCATTTTAATGCATTATGCGTTATGCATGATACGCATCACTTAAATCCACTGAACTCTTTGCCTGAACCATGCTGATCCATTGTCCAATTTGTAATATGACAAGGTGAAGGCTTCGGTTAAATAGATCAATGCGCTGTTCACCCTATAGTCAATGGAAGGGACCTTTCAACAGATCACATTGACTGACGATTCAGCTGTGAATCAGCGGCCAAACTGGAGACGTTCGTTCAGACACGGTAATCATAAGATTACTCCAACGAGACAAACTGTTTCCGCTTTGTATTCTTCCTGTGGTTGTTAGCGCATTTAAAGTTGGGCTGCTTCGAATCCCCGTCGCCGCAACTAATGAGTTACCAACTGCCGTATGAATACTAACAAACAAAATATGAGCCCGGGGGGCTTATAAAGGCGGCGCGCAGAATCTGCATAGGTGCCGTTAAATCATGGCTGGTCTCGGCGGGCCGGGTGATAATTCAGAAGGCTGCGGGCCGCCGCTTCGGTATACCGGTGCCATCTGCTCGGATCTCACCAGCAGCGAGAAAACATAAATTGCCGTATTTGCGGCACCAATGGTCTGAAATGGATGGGACAATTTAGTCGCCGCAGCAGCACAAAGGGCCGGGCCGCCGCTGTGGATTAGTGACCGGTATCCGAATTTAAATCGTGATGACACCGATAAAGTGTGGGTCCGCGTGAGGGCCCGCTGGAATCACGACAAAAGCCGCCTGAGGGCGTGGATAGCGACTGGGGTAGTCTTGTGCTGCCAGGAGAAATAGACGGGCTACGCTGTACCATTGCCAAGATCTTATTGCTTCCAGTTACCAATGAGGATCTCCGCCGATTAGGTCCACCTGCAGCTATGTGACATGCAAACGTTTAGCTGGATAACGATAACGGTGCTGCCCTCCCTGACTAATAGCGTAATGGGGAGTGATTTACTTTATTCCTAATGCAACGTTCTTGACTTGTGGAAGAAAAAGGATGCCGAAAATGTCACTCACTACACACTGCATAGAATCAAGCGCTTCCGTTACTAGTGAGTTGAGAACGAAGACGTTCCAATGTTTGCCATACATTGGGTAACGCGCAAAACAATCCATGCTTCCAAGCTATAATCAAAATAGAAAGTTTCATATTAGAGGTAGTTGATTGCAGCATACGACTACAAAACTGTATAGATTGCTTCGCACCAAGTAGGCGTAATTGTTAGAGCCAATCGCCACCGTAAAAAATCCATCGAGGCTCGCCTAACACATGGCTCGGGGATAGTCCCATATGGCTCTGTGTAGGCTCACTTGACGCTTAGACCCGGTATAGTTCTCTATGGCTCTGCCTAGGTTCACCTGAGGTGTAGTCCCCGGATAGTCTTCCACCTCTATCAGACTCACCTGAGGTAGTCGCGTTTGCAGAGTATCAGGTTGGCCTTTGTGTAGAGCGAGGAGCCGACCTCCCCCAGTCGGCAGTCGCAGCAGCCGCACTTCAAACAGTCCTCGTGCCAGAGGAGGTCCAGCGCGCGCAGCATATACCTGAAGCCAGACATGATCGAATCGGTACAGGGCTGGTGCGGTACATTACATTCTACAGGGCTTCACATTTAACTGAAACGAGCTTTTTTTCCCGGTGGTGTGCACAGTTTGCACACTTGATAAGGGAAAGTAAGATGGCTTTTCCCCAAGACAAGTATCCCCACAAGTGTCCCTGTCCCCTGGCCAGCGTGAAGTGTCTCCCGGTCCCTGCCTGGTTTACGGTCATTAATTGGTCATGCGATTGGTCTGACCTGTCGCTGATGGGTTTGCCGCACCCGGCGCAGTTCTGTCGTCCTGTCTGGGCGCCTGCCATCTCCTCTCGCTTCGAAGGCAGGCCGAGAGTTGCTCCCTCTGAAACATCAGAACTGTCTTTACCTTCACAATCACCTATTATTTCAAATGCCAAAGGAGTCTTATATATGTGCTAGATAACTGAATTATTTTCCGACAAGTTATCCGTGCAAGTCTTTGATTGGACGAGAGACACCGCGGAACAGAATAAAAGTACAGCCCACTCAGAAGTCACTGCGCATAAATTACTTGTGGCTGGCTGACCACCGCTTCCTTCCCATCTGACCCTGCTCGCCCCATCAGTCAGAACCCACGCGTTTACGGCTCCCCGCGATCCTCACGCTGCCGCCTTCGCGACCCATTGCTCCCGTCCCCTCCCCTCCCCATGACGTCATCGACCGGAGCGCTACGGTGAATATTGAAATTGATGTGCGGCGCGGTGAGATGAAGCGCACGACCGATAAGCGGTGGCGGGCGAGCCGCCGAACGGGCGAGCGGGCGAGCCGCCGAGCGGGTGAGCGAGCCGATCACACAAATAATGGTGCACGCTTGGACGCCGCTCGCGCGCGTGCCTACGCCGCCGCCGCCGCCGCCGATGCCGTCGACGCCGCCGACGCGCGCGAGCCGACGGATAGAGGATCGCAGCGCGATGGGGCGTTTGTTGTAACCGACCGCGGACAGAAGATCGGATCTGCATTCAGCTGCCAGTAGCGGCAGGATGAATAATGACAACAGAAAGGCGGTATCGGTAGCTATACAGAACAAGGAAGGGACTGGTAGCCATTCATGGATGATTGGGTAATACGCTGGAAATGCCTCGGGCTAGTTCATGAAGTTGTCATGGAAAACACATGTGGAATAAGAAGAGCGAAACCGAGAAAATGTTAAGCTTTTAAACCAGAAGAATAGCGCTTGGTGTTAAACCAGCTTAGCGCAGCTGAAGGGACTCAGTGCGCGAGGTTGTTTCAATGTGCGAAGGAATACCTTTATAAAAAGTGGTCTATTATGCTCCACAAAATTTGAAAGGGTATTGCAACCTTTATCGAACTGTGCAATCTTGTAATCGATGGGGAAGACTCAGGCCACTTAACCGAATCGAATCTAAGACTTCAATTTTTTATCTTATGTCGGTAAGCTGACCTGGCTCAAAACTGACCTGTGACATGCAGATGGTTTTATCAATAGCTAGCGGAACGAAAAATCCTATTTGTATCCATCACATGAATTTCTGAGCATACCTTGTTGATTCGTCATATTTTCATTCGTTGTCTTGGACTTGAAGTGTCTTGGAGCCTCCGGCCTTCAATAAACTCTCCAAAAATAGAGACCACCCTGGAAAAGAGGTGCATTATAAAAGGAAAGTCACAAGGCATTCTGTACAGTCGAGCATCAACGACGTTTTGTGAGAAATCGCACGCAGTAGGTTTCTGCTCTTTTGTGTGTCGTTTTGGTTACAGAATAAGTAGGGGGCATTAAATGAACCGGGAATACATGGCCCGTTTTCCATCCGCTAATGACTGAGTTCCGACGGCAGGACTCTGCTTCGGCCAGACTGCAGAGCGCACAATATCAACCTCTCCATTGCTCTATTGCATATTGCCTTTATCGAACTTTCGAACGAATGCAAGTGAATTATGAAAGAAACATTCTTGGTCGCTGCGTCGCTTTTTCAATATGAGATCTATATCATTTTCCTATCTGTGTGATACGCAAATGTGCAACGTCACAAAGGGCAACTTCTGGGTGACTTATGAACGAATTCATCGTCTGACAATTAATGCGTGGAAATGCAGCCACTATCGGACATTTTTGTTCCAAACAGTTCAATCAGCTGGAAACTGTTGAACGAGTTAACCAGTTAATGGCTCCGCGTCAGCCATTAGACCTGCCCTCGCTATGTATAATGCACGTGGGTGGAGCTAATCTGAAAATATACGTCCGCCCTGCAATTGGATTTTTAGCCGTTAACGTGAATAGTTAATGGGAACTATCCACATTCGCAAAGAATTCGAAGTTTTCCGCTTTCTTTGAGGATTTGATCTTGATTGGTGTTAACAGCTGAACAATTTGTGTTGTGAAACTGGGAGCAATTTCCCCACACCAATAAATTGCTTGCATGTGAACTAAAAATGGTTTGGTTGATCTTGAACTTCATTAGTGCGATCAAACTATCATACGAAATGAGCTCAAAACGTCTGAGATCACGAGCGATGAAATAGCACCAAAGCGTAATCTTGTATTAATTTGAGCGATTGATCACGTAGGTGACTCCATAGATTACTTGACCTATTCTTCATCATTGATTAGTATAGCCACTTACACAGTTGATGAAAATGACTACAAAACCCACACAGTATTGGTTTCCTATAATCTGAACCTACTTCAGCAAGATAGCTCTTACTTTACCACAAAATCTGGCTGCACATTGTTCAACTAAATAGGTGAAGTGGCAATAGCTTTGCGCGTTTAACAAAACAATGATCAATGATCAACGTCGAGACACGCTGTAGAGAGTTCTCCGTTTGACGACACAATAATTATCAAGCACTCTCAAAACAACATCGTACGTCGAGGTAGACTGGGATGCTTTGAATACAACACGTCAACCAGCTTTATGTAGAAGGAAACTCTTCGTAAAGTCATTAAAATTTTGCAAAGGTCCGGTTTCCCAATTATTGGCAAAGTGATTAGACACAGCTACACAGTCCTGCGGCATCATTTAACCCGCTGATTGAAATGAATGTCATTGCTTTGTTCGGTGGCATCTCAAACACAACTCCAGTGCCATTGAGAGGTAAGTCGCCAAAGGTAAGCATTTCTTTGAAAACAAGCAATAATTGTTGTACTGGTAGTCCGACAAACCCGCTACATCGGTATTTGCCCTGAATGGGAGGAGATAGAGCATTGAAAGAGAGTTTCTATCAACTGTGACAAACGAAATTAGCATTTCTAAAGATTTGTTGCTTGAAGAAATGAGTTTTTTTTTCAAGCTGTGACACCTATTCGTAATGCACAAACTGTTAATATGTGAGCTAAATTTTTGCATGCAAGCAATCTAAGAGGAAAGCAAATGAATTACTACCTTTGATTGCTTCAATGCGTGTAAGCGATAGCATGACTCGTCTCTTTGTCACACGTCTTCTCAGTCCACCGTTTCATCGTATACGTCATTTCATCGTACTCCGCGACCCCTTCATAAAAGCGCCTCCCAATCAGAATTCAAGTCTGAAAAACTCAGTCTAATGTCCACCCTGCGCGGTCCAAAATCACCGTCGTCCGTCGTCAGCGCCGGCTACCGTTTGGTGGCGTCGGTGGCACTCTGAGGCGGCACTCAGTCAGCACTCACCAGCCGAGGTCCGGCTCCGCGCCCCGACAAAACTCGGGGCCGATCTGGGCCGTGTCAGAGGCCTGATCAGACACATGCGACGCCCAGAACGTCCGGACTTCTTTATCATTTGCGAGTGTCATATTTACGGCGTGACGTTTGCCCTGGTTTATCGCCGTAAGTCGCCCCACTCAATCTCAGTAATGGATACAATGAAATGAGTTTAATCCGAAAACGCCCGAGAAATTTACTGCCGTGTCCCCGCGGCAAAAACCAAATGTAATAAGCAAAATGGACACTCGTTTGGTGAAAGTTCCAGCCTCCGGGATAATTCGGATAAGGGAGGGAAGCAGTTCAGATTTAAAGACGAAGATTTAAAGCTTGTTCAACAGAAAGGTCATTTAGATTATCGTGGCCGGGCGCCCGGAATGGATCATTCTGCCGAGTGGCCGCCGGACCGAAGGGTGACAAAGACGACGGGCAGAGCGCCGGGGCCGGCACACTGAGTGCGATTGCGGAGGCTGGGTAGAGCGACGGAGCGTGTGGCGGGGCCCGACCGAGACCCAGAAATAGTAGACGGTGACTGGAAAACCGGCGACCACACCAGCCACCGTGTGAGATCAGGGGACGCCGAGAGAGCTCGGGCGTGTTATGGTGCGCAGTGGAGAGCGGTGTTCGCAACGCAACAGCAAGTTAACATGATCGTGAAATTTATAAAAACGAATTAATCAAGCATTCTAAACGAGTCATGATTTATTGCACAGTAACACTGTCGCACTTACCCTAGAGTTAGTCAATTGTTCACCTAACCCTTAAATTTCATTACCCTGACGCAAATGACCCTCTTGCGGCCATGTCAGGCCGGAATAGCGATTCGGAGTACGTCAGCCCAAATTATCCACCCGTTTCCAGTCTGGGCGTGGTTGTAAAAGTTCCAATATGTAAAATGATGTTTGCTGCATGCATTGTGGTAGGTGTCAAGGTTACGTGAGGGTCAGGTCAAGCTCACTGACCTTAGATGACCTTGGCTCACTTTGTTGAATTCACATGGTTCCAGGGTAATTTTGGGAGCTGATTTCGAATTTAACACCATTTGAACATTTGAGAAGTAGCTTTGGTGCCCATTCAACATATTACCAAGCTTTCAGTGGTGGTTAACATCTACTATTGATAGCCGGCAGGACGCTTGCTGGTTGACCTGACCTGACCTGACCCGCCCTACCCCAAAATATACGCATACATCATCTTTGATCAAAACTAACACTAACTTCGTAATCAGAACCCCGAAAAGCCCATGCCAACCTCACTTTACGAAGTCTAGCAGGTCCCAATTTTCACGACTTGTGGGTCGCTGACGTGACCTGGAAGTTCAATCAATGACCTGGGACCTTAATACCGAGTATCCTTGGCTTCCTCTTGTCACGGGCAGCAAGAAAAGCTCTAGCTCTAGCTCTAGCTCGATCATCAGCCAAACGGCTGGGAGGGTTCCGAAGGACCCCTATACGTTAGACGCTGTAAAAAAGCCAAACACGGGAGAGGTTTAAACATGTATCATCAGTTTTTGGTGGTTTCTAGCATAATTGGGCATTAAAAATTGACTTATTTAACTGAAAAAGAAGGCCGTTAACCCGCGCCCCGCTGGGGGGGGGGGCAGAATCTGCCCCCTCCCGTTTTTCGCCAATAACTTCTAAACGCGTTACGTCAGCGACGTCAAACTTTCAGTACCTTATCATATATCA